GTGGAGTTGGAATTGCAGTATTGTATAACCTGTCCCTCCCAACACCACACTTTATTTTCCAGGTGACAGGAATTTTTTTTTTTTCCATTGGCCAGCTGCTCCCCCAAAAAATGTCAGCAATGGTGTATATAAATATTTTTTGCTGGCTGACTGAGACATTATAGCTCACTGCACAAACAACACTGGAACATTTTACTCTGTGTTACAGCTTTGGTAAAAGACACACAACATTGTCAGTATTTGTCGCTAAACTGCAAAAGTCGTACTATTTATTTAACTTGACAGCATGCCTGGGAAATTGAATGTTGCACTGACTGAGGCACTGAGAGTCATCACTGTATGACCAACAATGTTGGCGTACAATAAAATATTATTTTACCACTGTGCCATGAAATTCTAAAGATATACAATCGTATTAAACTCATTGCATAAACAAGTCTACAACAGATTTATGTTTTGTCATTGCTACCTGAAAGTAGAAAATATACACATACATTATTTTTGTGTTTTAAAAAAACAATGTGGGTATTATCAACAGCAATCAAAAACAATTAGGCTTTTGTTTGTGTGTGTGTGTGTGTGTGTATATATATATATATATCTATATATAGCTATATATAGATATATATAGATATATAAATATATATATTTATATATCTATATATAGCTATATATAGATATATATAGATATATAAATATATATATTTATATATCTATATATAGCTATATATAGATATATATATATATATACACACACACACACACACATATCTGTATTGTGTTTCTTTTTTTGTATATATCTATATCTATATATAGCTATAGATATATATACATATTTATTTTTATTTTACTCTAAGAAAATAATTTTTGTCACTTAAATATGAAACTTTAAATGTAGGAAGCAGAAAGTTTTTCATTACACATTGTGGAAAAACACACAGCACACCCTGGGTTTCCTAACTCTGTTCCCATATTTTGCAGTTTCACACTTTAATTCTGACCCTCTGTCCCTAACAGCTGCCAGGTAGTGATTGCATAACTATGGCAAAATAATGTACGCTGTGCACAATCTCCCACTTTTATAATCTGCATTACCAAAGGGTATCGGTTGTATTAGAGACCTTGCATTCAGTTCAAAGTTCAAACCCTAGTCCTACTCAGGAAACATTTTAACATTTTTCATGTCCTATAAAAGGAGTGGCTGATTGGTAACACAGGTTTGTAAACTATCTGTGCGCTCTCTATCCAACAAATTTAAACTTATTTTACCAAACACTAGAAAGCAACCATAGCAATAATAACTTTTAAAAAGTGGTAGGAGACATTTATGGCATTACATGTATTTTTTAGGCAATTAAACAAGCAAAAAGCACAGGGCTTCTGGAACAATCAGAAACCTTGCACAGCACATTCATGGCCCAAGTGTTTGATACAATCATGGTGCTATCCAATAGCACTGTAAAAATGCAACAACTCTATGTACATCCAGATTAAACATTAAAATATAAACATCAATTATACAACACAAACAGCACAGCTAAATGAACAAAATAAAATAAACTTACTAATAATACATGTCTTACAACTGCTACTTTCACTAATAATAATGGCAGCAACAACAACAATAAACTCTATAATGAAAAACACTCAACATATGCAATAATGCAGAACTTTTAGTCATAAAATACATGCAAATGTATGTTTACTTTACAACTATAAATGAACTATAAAGTGTTTTTAAATCATTAATTTACCCTTCTAGCCACCCTCTCTGGATATACTGAACTGCCATAATTCAGTGCTATGCAGCTCCCATTAAGTCTTGCTACATATCTGAGACCTGGAATACATTTTGACATAAGTTCACTGTACAAATATAAATGAAGTATAAAGTTTTTAAATCAATAAATTTTTTTCTACTTTTCCTCTGTGGGTACACAATAGAGGACTGCCATAACATACTGCTATGCAGCTCAAAAAAATGACTTGTTACATATCCATAGGCCAGGGAAATACGTGTAAATCTATGTCTGCTGTACAAATACAAATGAACTATAAAGTTTTTTTAATCATTAAATTTCCCATCTAGCCTTTCTCTCTGTGTACACAATGCAGAAATGCTATGCATCTCACAAAAGGGTTTGTTACACTGTATATCTGTGGCCAGGAAAATACATTCAAATCTATGTCCACTGTACAACTATATATTAATTATAAAGGTTTTTTTTTTTTTTTTTAATCATTCAAATTCCCTTCTAGCCTTCCTCTTTGGGTACACAATACAGAACTTCCATAACATAATGCTATGCAGCTCACATAAGGACTTGCTACATATCCGAGGCCAGGAAAATACATGCAACTCTATGATAGCTTTACAACTTTATATGCACTATAAAGTTGTTTAAATCATTTAATCTCCCTTCTAGACTTCCTCCCTGGGTACACAAAATTGAACTGGCAGAACATAGTGCTATAAAGCTACATATCTGAGGTCAGGAAATGACACAGCACTTCTGTTTTATACCAAAGTATAATTTCTGCTGAACTACATACAGTGCAGAGTGCTTAGATCAGGCCAGAGTATTGCAGTAAATTCAGTTTTGACCTGAAATGTGGAAACAGCTTCACTACATAAAATACTTTTCACAAAGCAAAGCCAACTTGAAAAAAAATCTGGCATGATCTTTGGGGATCTCATCCTGTTCATAAAGCATAATAAGATCACTTAACTGACACCCATCTTATAAACTGAGATGACTTCCTAGCAGTCTTGCCGTTATTACTGGTACATCATCTAGCAGAAAACCTGCTGGGGTGAAATATACAGGTAGAAATAATGTAATGCTGCCTTTAAGGGTCATAAATTATGTCTTTCTCAAGGCGTCTGCCTGAAATATGCGATGTCTCCTGTCTTGTGGCTGCAGGAAATGCAGCTTGTGGAAAACTTACTGGAAATGAATATTGCTCTCAAGCAGTAAAGACCATATGCACTGCCCAAGTATGTATTCTGGGAACCTTCATCAATAGAGAGAAACAATTGTGCATTGTCTGCGAGTCCATATACCAGTATCATCGAGGCAGCACCAGTGACTCACAGCACTTCCTATATACACTTAGCAGGCTCAGACTACAGGATTTCTTTTTAAATTATTTTTACAAAACGGTTGTTTTATTTTTGATTAATCTGATCTGTTTATTTTACACAATGCAGATTCCACCTAAGATAAAGTGCTTTCCTAGCAAAACACTCATTCCGATATTAAACAGAAGAAACGCTTAGTAATTGTCAGCCTGTAGGAGGAGTTTGGGCTCGGTCGGGCTGTATGTATCGGGGTGTGAGTGCTGTCACTAACACTTCATTACACATCAGCTTGGTATGGTGATTCACATCTGCAACTATATACCCCTTACTTATCTTCACCTGTAACAAGCCACTGCACACAACAATCCCATGACACATTTGCTTTATAAAGCAGACCAAGGGAAGCACACCGACACTACAAGAATCAGCTTTTTTGTCATGGCTAATCTATTCCAACCACGGAATTATTAACAATTAGTAGAAAAAGCACAACATAATAAAAGTAAACATGTCTAATAAAGTATCAAGGTCATTGCACCAATTGATAACCAAGATGAAGCAGCTATAGACAACTGGTACCGTGTGTAAGTATGTGTGTGTAATATATATATATATATATATATCACAAGCGTGTGTATATGTGTGTTTACATACGCACACATATAACTATAGATATACTCTATTACTCTATACATTTATATATGATAATACAGTTATTGCAGTTACACCGTTTCAATGCAAGGGAGACCAATGTGTGCATTATGTTCCACAGACCCGTAAATGTCATATTGTATTTTGGAGGTATTTTATGCATGTATGTGTGTATATTTCTAACATACTAAGGTCTGTAAAAAGTATACCTAAAATGTAAACACAATTACCCTACAACACATACAATAATGTGAGATGTATTACATATTTCTCTGTTTGTCCATTTTGGACAGAAGTTACCTGGAAATACTTAATAAAAAGTAACAAGTTTTGCTCTCGTCAAACAAAGGTTTTAAAATAAACGAGCTCTTATAAAATGGAATGTACAATCCACATCGTACATCAAGCCAGGTGATATTTATTTAAAGAAATTAATTTTTCTTCCATGACAGATAATATTCAGACACCACAATACTATACATTATACACGACAAAATAACAAAAAGAAGATCTATACAGCATACCTTTGTCCACATTCTGTTTTCCTGGACACATGTAGCAGTGCTTAAGACTGGCATTGAGTATATCCCATACCATAAAAGAAGAAAAAAAGTACAACGTGAACCTTCAGATACAGTAAATATTCTAGGATAAAACGTCCAATCAATGTGACTGAAACAAAAATTCATACTTCCCCAAACAATGCATATATGTAAGTAATTTCTGCACCGTGTGTCAGTAATTTCTGAAAAGCTCATAACACTGATGGTTAAAAAACATTTTTAAGAGAAAAAAGGCCTTTTTTTTTCCAGATACCTTTGCACGGTTGTATTTCAGTACTTGTAATAATTCTGTGGCCACAGAATGAAATACGCTATTAATAAAACATTTCTATTCATGAGAAGTCTCCGGGTTCTAGAACAGAACGCTGAGAAGTTCTGCAAAGGTTAACCCTTAAAGTACCAGACAAGAGGTGTCATCTGCCTAGAAATCCCCTAGTACGCAGTAGTTTCAATAATACATCTTTCTTTTTTTTCTTTTCTTATGAACATAAATGTGCACAGATCTGTTATTTTTTTGTATGTGTCATTTACAAGATTTTCAAGCATACTCAACAAAACGTGTTACATATGCACCTTAGAACGTATGTACATGTTATATTATTAGACAATTCATTAAGACTCCAGAAAATGGAAGAAACGAGCAGATTGCCTGATGCCATCAGGGCCATCAATGACAGTGACAGAAACGTGTCCCGGAAAACATATTAAGCGCTGATTGTTTTAAATATATATATTATATATGCGTTTATGTAGGGATGGAGCCTACAGAGCATCAGACCCCGGTGTATTCACAGTTGGGGGTGAATGGAGAAGGGTGGACACTTGGGGTGATGGGATCATTGATAGATTCTGTCACTTGCATTCCATTCCTATATTAAATAATCCATAGTTCACTTGGAGAAATGTCTTATACGTGGGAATGAGATAAATATTTATTGGGGGTTGGGGTTGGGGGGGCTTCCTAGGCTCCCCCTAGTGTCAGGTATTGTGAAGGTGAGAGGATTTGCATTTCGTGATCACTTTTTTTTCTTTAACTCTTCGATTCTGAAACCATATTGTGACCTGCCGCTCAGACAGACTGGTGGCTGTGGAGATCCTTCGTCTCTTCTCTTTGGTTATGAATTTGCTGGCTGCATATTCCTTTTCTAGTTCCTTCAGCTGGATTTTGGTGTAGGGGACCCTCTTTTTCCTGCCTCTGCGGTAGCTGCTAACCTCTGGCTGTAGAGGCACCACATCTGCAGTAGAGAGGACAGACAGGACATAGTTAAACTACAGCCCACAGCCTGGCATTACCCTCTAGGTTATACTGTGCTTTACCACCGAGCCAGCCTTGGTATCCCTATCTCAAAATAAGAACCTGATGGCGGTCCCAATAAATTCCCCATGACACATTTAGATGGGCACATTAGTTAAACACTTATACAAGTAGAACGGCTGCTGGATTTATCATCTATGTCGAGTCTAAGCACATATCAACCATATTTCAATGCCCATGAGTTTGGGAAACAGGAGAAACGGCTACATGGATATGCACATGAGGACAGTAGATGACAGTTGACTGTCATAAACAGCATTGCTCGGTGCTGCAGGTGTTCTGACAGATGATAAAGTCAATTTGCACAGCCCTAGCAGCACCTGGCCTGCAAAGCACCAGAGAGGGGAGGCTGGGGACCTGTGTAACACATGAAACCACATTAGCAGTTTCACACTTCGCCAGTCCAACAAGATCACTTGAGCTCTCATAGCAAGCAGTGTACAATATATACTACAGCCAGGCAAATGCAACCAGCAACAGCCAAGAGCATACAGCCGGGCTACAATACAATCATTCCATCTAATGGTTTAACATTTTCTTATATTTTCTGGGATTGGATTTTCATTTTGTTTATTGGAAAATAGTCACTGAAGTATATTAAGAATTGTTGCAATATATACATTAGCTTGGCTGGGGGGTAACGAGCAACCAGTTATATCAATAATCTATATATTGTAACGCCCCTATAAGCATCACAGAGATAGACAAAGAGCAGAAAATAAATGGATGATGAGATAGATAGATAGATAGATAGATAGATAGATAGATAGATAGATAGATAGATAGATAGATAGACATCAGATACAGGCCAGCTGGGTAACATTATAATGTAATCCCATAAACACATAGATATGTAGATATATGCAGCATATAGAAATAATGCATAGATAGAGAGATAGATGATAGATAGATAGATAGATAGATAGATAGATAGATAGATAGATAGATAGATAGATAGGTCTCATAGATTATTATTCACATCATATTCACATTCAAGATATACAGTATAGAAAACATGAAAAATACAAAAAACAGATACACATTTGAGAGATAGATAGATAGATAGATAGATAGATAGATAGATAGATAGATAGATAAATAGATAGATAGATAGATGATTAGACATATAGCATTCGATAGATAGATAGATAGATAGATAGATAGATAGATATTAAAATATATGCCAGCTGATAGGTGTACAGATTGGTAGAGCAGGAGTGATATATGCCACTCAACCAACATAATAATGTGTTCATGCAACACAGTCTAGTACATTTTAAAAATCACATATTCTGAAAGATATGCACTATTAATAGTAGTAGTGCTAGTAGAAATCTTATATTTATAAAAAT